TTCCATATGAATCTCATTAACATTTTTTCTATTTCTTTGAAGAATGTCATTTTTATGGGGATAGCATTAAATCTGTATATTGCTTTTGGCAGGATGGCCATTTTGATGATGTTAATTCTCCCGATAATTTTCTTATTTTATACATCATTGTGTATTCCCCATAAAATCCCCACCACCACCAGTTCACCCGTGAACCTGCACCATCCATGGTCTTTATACACTTTTTTTTTTTAAGAGAAAGAAAGTTTATTAAGGAGAAAAGGAACAGAAATAAAGTAGGACCCCCCAGGCCAGGGAGAGTGAGGAAGCCAGTTCTTTGTGCTTTTCTTGCCCCTCTTTTGACCCCTTTTCCTCCCCCTCCCTCAGCAGAATGTCTCTTATTTATGGTTGCCTGCTCTTTTTATTGTTGTTGTTGTTGTTGTTAATGTTTCCCCTGATCCCTTTTGGGTTCCCCTATATTTCTCCATTCGATATTTTTCTTTTTCCTCTGGCTTACGTCACTGAGCATGATCCCTTCTAACTCCATCCATGTTGCTGCAAGTGGAATAAGTTTATCTTTTTTGATTGCTGGTAGTATTACCTCGCATGTATGTACCACTTCTTGATTCAGTCATCTATTCTTAAGCAATTGGGTTGTTTCCATATCTTACCTATTGTCAGTAATGCTGCAATAAACATAGGGGTGCAGGTATCTTGTTGAATTAATATTTTTGTATCCTTTGAGTAGATTGCTAGGAATAGAATTGTTGGTCATTGGTAGCTCCATTTTTAGTAGTTTGAGGGGCCTCCACACAGCTTTCCAGAGTTTGGACTAGTTTGCATTCCCACCAGCAGTGTAGGAGAGTTCCTTTTTCTCCACATCCTTGCCAACATTCGTTTCCTGCTTTTTAATGTGTGCTACTTACTGATGTAAGGTGGCATCTCATTGTGGTTTTGACTTGTATTTCCCTGATTGTAAGTGATGTTGAACATTTTTTCATAAACCTGTTGGCCATTTGCATTTCGTCTTTAGAGAAGTGTCTTTTTAGCTCTTCTGCTCATTTTTTGACTGAATTGTTTACTTTGTTTTTGTTGAGTGTGTGAGCTGTTTGTAGATTTTTGTGATCAGTCTCTTATCAGTTGTATTGTGTGCAAAAATTTCTCCCAATCAGTAAGGTGTCTTTTTGTTTTAGTTATTGTAACAACCACTTTCAAAGAATATTACAAGGTATCAGGAGACAATATAATACAAATTTACCCTAGTCATCAGGGGAAATGAGCGATATTTAACTGGAATATAAAGGATTAAAAAATCCGGGTCCATGGGGGAGAGTACAGTCCTGGCAGTAAGAACAGGTTGAACAGAGGTCCAGAGATGGGAAGAAAGCTGGTGAGTTGGTAAAAATGAAAGAAGGCCAGTAGAGCTGAAGCTTAGTAAGCAAAGAAGAGATAAATAAAAAACAAGATTTAAAAATGTCAACCTTCATCAACCACACCCAAAGACAAAAGTACTGCAGATATTCCCTTTAAATTGACGTAAACAGCCATGGCCATTGTTTACATTTATTGGTAAATTCTGACCTACTCAATAAAATGAGTAACAAAAGTAATAAAACTTTGGAGGAGTCATATTATCCACAATTACAAGCAATATGGTTGTACACCAAGAAATTTCCAAGAAAATCATCCCCCAAAAAGCATAGAACTAATTAGAAATGGTTAGACTTCTAGTGGCATTCTTCCTGTGGCCCCTTGGCCCTCCTATTTTCTAAAATCCATGAAGTCTGTCTGCTCTGGGCTGCAGGGGAGTTTATTCCACCTGCCCTTGTGACCTCAGCCATTGAAGTTTTTTCAGGGATTCCTGTATTACTCTCAAGCTGCAACTGCCGTTACCCAAGGCTCTGCCAGATTACCCCTATTTTACTGTTTTTATTGCAGCTTCCTGTTGTGTCTGTGATGAGAGAAACAGAGTCCCAGCTACTGCCAGATGTGGGGGCTATTGTTACCTGTAAGGTAAGTTGGTCCAGCTTAGGATATGCATCCAGTGCTAAAAATCATGATTATGGTAGAACTGCACTGTCCAGCAGAAGCCACTAGCCACATATATCCATTTGGATAAATAAAAGTTTAAAATTTACATCTCAGTCCCCCTAGCCATATTTTGAGTGCACAGTAGCCACTTGGAATTAGTACCTACCGTGTTAGTCAAGACAGAACAGTTCTTTCACTAGCTGGTTCCCTGGGTATGTAGTTTTATTGGTGTCTGGGAAACCAGTGACAAAGTACAATACGGAGAGCTGCTTTTGAACATCTGAAACTGCAGTCTTCTGCAAAAAAGCAACATCCTGTATAGTCTAGCATTCCTTTTAAATACAAAGTCTTATGGCAGACTTCAGAGACTTGAGGGGAAGTACAAATTGAAGCTAGACTAGTCAGTAACTACATGATGTGCCTCCGGCGCAACCCTCACCAGGTTGGGCAACTGGCCTGTAACTCCTAGTTTCTCTCTTTATTAATTGTTCTACCAGAAAGTCTATGTGTTATTTTGAAAATAACTTGAGAGGTAGTAATCCAAATATTATGTAGTAGCTTAAGTGTGGCTTTAAATTCTCCCAGTTTACAAGCCTTTTAGTAAGATCTGTTAAAGGTCTAGATTTGCTGTTATGCTGTGTCTATTTATGCTAGACTTCTCTATTTTTCAAAACAAAGCCTGTAGCATATTATTTCATTTGATTCCCCAATAACTCTTGCATAGCCCAAGTGTCCAAGTGTAGATTCGCTTGGACTAAAATCCTAGTACTTTCTAGTTTATGTCGATAACTGCTGTTTCTCTAATACTGCTCATTCCTCCACTCCACAGGTGTCTAGCATCAATTCACGCTTTGCCAAAGTACACATTCTATATGTGGGATCTACACCACTTAAGAACTCTTTCCGAGGAACTATCCGGTAAATATTTTCAAATTTGCCTCAGCGTGGGGAATGAAACTAGGATAGAACCACAGACTGGAATTTTCAGGGACAATTTCAAAACCTGTTCCTACTTTTTTATCTCTTCTTCATGCTTTGATTCTTTCCAGGTAGTGTCCAAAAAAAAATGTTACATGAGTTAAGGCAGAAGGAGAACATCATTGAGATACAGAACTTTAAAATAAAGCAGAAAGAATTGAGCTTAGATGGATGTTAGTGATACCAGGTGATCATTTCAAATAAAGTACAGCAACTTTCAGGAAGTCCCTTTCTTTCTTGAATTTTATGAGATTAAACCCAAGAATTGTAAGTCTTAGAAAGAGGTGGATAAAATACTATCCTTTTTTTTTTTTTTTTTTTTTTTGGTTTTAGGTTCTTTAGTTCTTGCAGGGAGAACAATTTAATTTCTGCAGTCCCTTCCCTTCCTCTGTGTGTTCCAGAGCACTGCTGTTGAAGCGCCCCTAAGACAGCAGAGTGCCTTCTCCTTTCCTGCCAAATCTGATTGGCTCTTCTCTCCCAGACGTGCTATTCTGCTGCATTGTGTGATCTAAAAATGGGCTAAGTAGTTTTCTCCTAGGGAGACCTTCTCGCCCAGCTCCTTTTGCGAGGCCCGCAATTGCTGCTTGTTCTCTCTGCTCTTGTAGCTCTTGAGTCTGCAAGATAATTCTTTTTCATGGAGAATTAATATTTTTATTCCGTTTTTTTACAGCAAGGAAGATGTTCGAGCTACTGAAAAAGACAAGGTAGTTGGTTGACTCTTCCCTTCCATCTTCCCTCTCCCCCTCATCGCCACCCCCCTTTGTGGCTTTCAGTAGATGTAACAGGAGCTCCCAATCCTTTTCAGTTATTCCACTGAATATCAAAAATCTTTCTGAAAGTAGAATCCAAGGAAGTCTAAGTTATTTCCTACTGTAAAGTGTGGAACTCACCTCACTCTCCCTTCACTCTATGAATTTTATTCATTCTGTTGAGCAGCTGGAGGCTGGCTTTCTCTTTGCCCTTGGAGCCAGATATTTATTTATACATTGCTGTTCCTGCAGACTTACCCCAGACCTTCTCAGAACCACCTTAGTCCAAGTCAGAGTCTTGATCAGATTAATGAATTCAAAATTTTTCATTTATATGATGATGCTGTGGAAGCAATAAAAGGTGATGACTTCTGTCCTCTGGGATCAGAAGGTGGATTGTCTCTACCAGAGGGTTCATAGTTTCATGTAGCCCTGACCTGGTGCAGAACTTTCATCTGACACTCCTGTTTTTTCTTTACAGGTTGAAATATATAAGAGTTTCCACCCTGGTGACATTGTCTTGGCCAAAGTGGTATCCTTTATTCCAGGCAGACTGGTGGTCTTTTGTCAAAAGAAGTGGAAGTAAAGAAATAAGTGGCTGTGGGAGGGAAGACTCATAACTCATCCCTTTCCTTCACCAGTATCTGCCACCAGATCTCCCTGGGTGATGCACAGTCCAACTACCTTTTGACCACTGCCGAAAATGAGCTGGGGGTGGTGGTGGCCCACAGTGAGTCAGGTAGGAGCCGCCCCTCCAAACGCTCACCTTTCCCTGCAGCGGGATTACTCCATTGTTTTCTAGTAATCTAGAAAGCAATATGAGTGTAGATACTTAATATGGAGATTAGAACGATTCTCCGTGCAAATCCAGGGTGGGGGGAGTAGGAGAGATTATTATTTGGGGTCTCAGCTCAAGCCACTTTTTCCCTTCCAGGGGTCCAAATGGTTCCCATCAGCTGGTGTGAGATGCAGTGCCCTAAGACCCACACTAAGGAATTCAGGAAAGTGGCCCGGGTTCAGCCTGAATTCTTGCAGACCTAAGCTACCATACTCTACCCCATGGAAGAGGGTAAGCTGTTTCCAGAGTACAGTGTGAAAGTCACATCAAGATGCACTGTTTTTGTTCAGACTCCTGTGGTCAGCCAGCAACCACCTATCGAAAACTCTGCCAGAAACCTACTCTGTAGGTGAGACCTTTTTCCGGCGAACCTTTTAGTGGGTTTCATTTTCACAGGTGATAAATTTCTCTTGGAAGCACCAGCAAGCAAACGAAAATTTTGGCAAGAGTCTGTTCCTTCTGATAGTCTTAAAGATAATGTGATTTTTTGTTGGTTGGTTTTTTTTGCTATGACAAAACATTTTTACTTAATTTGTGGTTTCTGTTGTCTTGAGTGGGAAAAGAATCTAAATGGTACCATGACATATAGAGCAGGGGTTTGCCTTGTGTCACCCCTTTACCCATATGTCAAGTGCTTGCTGGACAAAGCCTAATCTCCTATCTTCTTTGTGTTTTTTATTCTCTCAGTACCTCTATTTATTGAGTGCTAACTGTGCGCCAGGCACCAGGTCAAGAACTTTACATATTTTCCCTCACTTAGGGAGATTATGGGTTGGTGCAAACTGGGACATGTGATTCTGGGAGCATGCACAGAGTTCTCAAAGCAACTCGGTAAACGTGGCATTACTGAGAGCGTGGGTACATCTGAATTGAAGAGGCACCAAATACTGAAATATGAGATGGCCAGGAAAGGATTTGTGACAGGAGATAAAACAAATTTTGAAGCATTTAATAAGTGAAGAAGTTCAAAACAGAGAAGCCCAAGCTATGTACCAAAGCAGGAGTGAGCACAGAAGTTGGAGGGTGAGGAAGGGGAGACGGTTAGCACGGAGAGGCCCCTGGAGGGAGGAAGGTGACTCAGGAGGTGTCACTTGAGATGTCACTCCTGTGCATAGTGACAGTGGCCGAGGGTGAGCTTTGGCGCAACTGCCCTGCGTGTCTCCTAGACCAAGTCCAGTCTATTTTTGTTCCTACTGAAACCAATACCCAGGGTCAGCCAGCAGCTGCCTCTAGAAAAATCTGCCAGAAATGTACTCTGTAGGTGGAACATTTTTCTTGTGAACCTTTCAGTGGCTTTCACTTTCAGGAGTGGCAAGTTTCTCTTCTGGAAGCCCCAGCAGACCAGCAGTTGAGGTCATTGTAGGTCCAGTGCGACCAAAAGAAATTAAAGAAATCCCTGGTGGCTCCGCCCAGTTTCTCTCGGTGACATTTTACAAGTTATCCCTGTGCTCTGTGAGTCAGGGTGTCAACATTGATCCTTGAGCAGATTGTTTCTTTTTAAGTCTCTTTGCTCATCTGGAACAGTGTAACCTCAGGATTCTTGCGAGGATGAAATGCATGAAGCACCAGTGCCTGCTCATCTTAACAAACTTGCGTATCTGATTGCCTGCCATCAGGGTCTATTAAATGTCAGGGTTTGTGTGCTACACTTTGATGTAGCTTGTTTAATCAGCCTCCCTCTAGGGTGGGTATTTTAAAACCTTACAACTATTATTTTATTACTACATTAAAGCTATTTTTTAAGACAGTCCTACAGAGAAAACTCTTATGCCATATTATCTTTATGCATGTCTATGATTCGCTTGCAACATAGATTCCAAGAAGTGGAATGCTGGATGAAAAATTATGCACATTAAATTTTTCGATTTTCCCTACTGCCTTGGCAGAAAGAGGCCACCAATTGATTGCCTCAGCAACAGCATTAGCCAGTTTGTTATCCCTGAACTTCAGTGACCTTGGAAAGTAGCAGTCATCTATGCTTACAGAGAAGTCAACTAGGAATTACAAAAATGAACATGCTCTCAGTCACACAGACACCAAGTAGCAGAGCAATATTCAAACCCAGTCTTACCGTAAAGCTCAGCCTCTTGCCCTGTACTCTGGGCCTCCTTTTCCAGAGTAGCCAACAGAGCCTCTCGTGCAGCCAGGGGCTTTCCAAACTGGCAGGGCTCACTAGTCCCAAGTGCCCACACGTGAACATAAATTGAGCACGTACTCGGTGTGCCACTGTTCAGGAGCCGGGGGTACAGCAGTGAAGGTGTCAGAGCCCTCGTGGATCTAACATCCTAGTGGGAGATACTAAGTACCAGGCAGAAATACTTTAATTTCAGATAGTAATTGTTTAAATCATCATAAAGAGCATTTTAAAAAAACTGACTAAGACTTCCCCGCTCTGCTGCAGGTCACATCCAGTTTTCTCACCTTTAACCACTCTATACTGTATTACAAGCCAGTGTTGTGCCTGTCCGCCTACCAACTTGAGCTTTGGAGGCAGGAGTCTTTTTTTATCCCTGAATCTCTAGTACGTGACTTCATGACCAAGTAGGTGGGCCTCAAATTGCCTATAGAACTTTAGAGGAAAAAAGCAGCACTGCTAGAATCTCCTGGGGTGAGCCCAGAGCGGGTGTTGATCTCAGTGGCAGCTGCTGGCCTCTCAGTGGTCATGGCAATGGTGCTGGCTCTCCAGGCCAAATGCAACACCACACATTCCAGTCAGGGCTCTTTGCTCTATGTTGCAAGGAGTGAAGACCATCATAAGCCCAAGCAAGGTCAGGACAGAGCACCATTAAACACGAGCTGATCCAGTCTGACTGGGTAGAGCACTTGAGCAAACAAAATTACCAACTTTGGGTCTAAGCTTCAGTGCAGGCTAAGTAACCTTATACCCCACCAGGCTGCTGGAGACTTACATCACTGAAGGTCTCCCTAGGGTTATTGTGTAGATCAAATCAAAAACTAACTTGAAAAACAAGCCCTAGGTTTCTTAAAAGTATTTCCATTTTAGATAAGGACCTTGATACAGTTAAACTAACACCCCTCACCTGGGCTCCAATACTGTGGAGTACTCAGCCTTTGGCCAGTGTCCACCTGTCTCCTCTTCGTAAAATGGGGCCACCAGCCCTTTCAGAGCTTGTCAGGACTGCAGATTATGATGCAGTATTGAACTGCCACAGAGCCTAAGAACTTCCTAGATGACGTTAATTGCTCCCGCTAGGTGAGAGGCCTGACGGCCATTCTCTTCCCTTGGGAGCTCTTGCAGGCCTGGCCTTAGAGATGGGAAAGTGAGCGGCGCCTTTCCCAATTATGTGTACAGATACACCACTGTTCTACATTGAGTTAGTTGTTGAGGATGTTAACTTAGTTGACTGACAGACTGAAACTTCAAGGGGGTCAAAAAGAATGGATCAAGCTTACAAGTTAATAGGAAAGGATGTGTTTTAAACAATCTGGTAAACAAATCCTCCTCTCAGGAAACACATTGGAGTTTTAGAATCTGCATTTCCAGTCGAGAGGGGTATTAAGCAGCACCGCTGAGCAGGGGCTAGAGGGGTAACGAGTGGAGCTCAGCTGGGAAGATCAGCCCCACCCTACTGGCTCCCCAGCCTGAGGGGGGAAACCAAGGGAGACAGGCGCAAACTAGCTCTTAACATGTCACAGGACTTGCGTAATGAGACATATCGAGTTGAACTCTCAAGCTGACTTCCTCAGAGATACATGTCACACAGAGAATATTGCACATCACTCCTTTATTATACTGGTCTGGAAAAAATGTAGTACAGTTATGCTTAAAATGAGGACCAAGCAACTAGAACATGATTTAGAAGTCAGACAGTGACACATTTGGACATGATCAAGCAGCATTTCACTGCCACAAGACAGTAAGGGGGATTCTAAAACACACAGCAGGAGGAACTCCTGCTGTCAAGGAGCGCACCCCACGTTAGTATGAGGAATGGCTTGTTTTCTAATGACCACACATGGGAATATTTCACCCGCCACTAGAACACTTCAGGAGGGATTTTGTTTTGTATTTTTGTAACATATACATATTTCACTTCTTTTTTTTGTAAAAGTAGATGCACACAACATTTGGGGTTGACCCCAACCTGGAGCCAGCTCCTCAGGGAGGAAATGTTTGTTTTAATCACCACGCAGGTTGCATTCATCTTCCACTGGCTAGACGCCCCCAGGCAGCCACCTGGCCACACAATGGGGCAGGACTGGCTCCCAGGAGCAGACAGGCTCTCTGGCTTTCTACTGGTCACACCTGAGCATGGCTCCTCCCATCCCCTACCTCAGCCGGCCCTCAGTAAACAAAGAACTAGCAAAAACCCCAGCTACTACCTCTCAGCTCTTGGATGAGAACTTGGCTTGAGGACCCTCACCCCAGAGGGGCCATTTTGACTAGACTGTATGAAGGGAGTGGGTGCAAGAGACAGGATGGCAAAAATGAAATTGGGAACCACCAGTTTCCATCTGCAGCTAAAACATAAGATACCTACAGATGGTCAGTGTGACATGTGCAGGGGAGAGGTACAGAGGAACGGGATGGGCAGGCAGGATGTCCTTAGGAACACAGCCTGTCTGCTCGCCTTCACTTCTTGGCCTTGCCCTGGGCAGCCACAGCTTCCATGGCTTTACGCACGGTCTCTTCATCCCCCAAGAACTGCATGGGCTTGATGGGCTTCAAGTTCTTGTCCAACTCGTAGACTATGGGAATTCCAGTTGGCAGGTTTAGCTCCATGATAGCCTCTTCAGAGAGACCTAAAAAGTACCCACCATGATCAGCCCAGCAAGACAGGAATCCCCACCACCAGCCAGTTTACACTCTAGCTCCAGGATAAATAGTACCCTGGCAAAGGACTTGGTAGGAATTAAATCAAGACACCCTTCCTGATTTTTGTGATAGTAATGACCTATGTTATAACCCAAGGAATGCCCCAAAATACTTCTTGCTCACATACTGACAGGCAAGAAAAATGTTTGAAAGGTATGTACCAGACAGCCCTCCCAAAGTGGGCTCTGGAAGCCCATGGTGAAGCTGGACCATACACACCTCTCTAGTCAAATGTCACATGTGGGTCCCTAGGCCCTTGGGAAAGTAATTTAAGACGCAAACTAAGATTCATGTGTGAAGTTGTACATTGATGAAGGATACTCAATTGATAAAATTAATTAAGGACAATTTTATGCACTTTAAACTAGTAATCCTAGTTCAGAGGTAAGCATCTCCAACTTCAGTGTGTCATGAGTCACCTACATTGTGGAGTGGGACCTGAAGGTGTTTGTGCATACCAAGCACCCAAGGGGTCTTCTGCAGATCTTTTGAAAGTCAAGAGCAGAAGAGAGGGTGCTCCCACAGGAGTCAAATCTAGACTGCCTCTAGACTATCAGTATGTCCAACCATTTCCTGAAGCCATTTGTACTGAGTGCTCCCAACCAGTGGCAATCCTGGGGGCCCATCCGAAAAATGGGGGCCCATCTGAAAAATGGACATACCCTCCAGATGCTTGACAATGCCCCGAAGGCTGTTGCCATGGGCGGCAATCAGTACCCGCTTCCCTTCCTTGATCTGAGGAACTATCTCTTCATTCCAGAAGGGCAGAGCTCTGGCAATCGTATCCTTCAGACTCTCGCAGGAGGGTAGCTGATCTTCAGTAAGGTCAGCATACCTGCGGTCCTAAGCAAGAAAGAAACACACACTCACCAGTTATTTGCAGTTTGATCTGTTAATGATGTCACAGTTTATCAATTCTGCCATTCATCCCCTATGAGGTCAAAGTGATGGGTAATGGTCTTCACCGGAAACCAAAGAAAAGAATTTGGGAATGGGGTGATTGTCCTGCCCTTTTACATACTACTGAGAACAAAGTCCAGAAGAAACATAACTTAGAAAAGGTAGGCCACAAGACTTCCCAGTTCCTCTGACAACTGGTTTAGGAAGGTATCAGGCTATGGATGAGTTTTATAAGATAATGGCAATGGAGATCTATAAACTTGCAAAATAAACTCTCTGCTAAGTACTCTGACAAGTTAAGATCATTCACTGGAAAAGAGAAAATACAATCATTTTTGCAAAAACGACATACTCAAAGGGACTAGACAGGCACCAACAAGGCTCCCCCAGGCACGCGTGGGGAGCAGCATGCCTGCGACCTTACCTTGCTGATGTTGCTGTAGAAGGGGTGGTCGGGCTCCATCGGAGGCGGCGGCACATCAAAGGAGCGCCTCCAGATCTTCACCTGGGCCTCACCGTGCTTGGCGGCAGTTTCTGCTTTATTGAGGCCAGTCAGCCCGCCATAGTGCCGCTCGTTGAGGCGCCAGGTCCGCACCACTGGCAGCCACATTTGGTCAATGGCCTCCAACACCGTCCAGAGAGTCCGAATGGCTCTCTTCTGCACTGAGGTGAAGCAGACATCAAACTCATAGCCAGCATCTGGAAATCAGAAGATCAAGGTGGTAGGTAAGCTGATCAGGTGCACTCTAAAGCCAGAATTCCCGTACACTAATCTATATACCTAGTCCAGATGGAAATTATTTGGCAAACACTTTAAGGAAAAACAATATTCTGCCTTTAGGGAACATAAAATTTGTTGACTCGTGCTACAGTTGATAAGTTATCTCCCACTGGTTCCCCAATACTCATCCAATCCAGGATCTAAGTATCCTCTTGGCGCAAACCAACAACGCAGTGCCTGTCCTCATCCTCAGAACGCAGTGCTTGAGCACATGAGTGTATTTCTGCTTCAGTTCTTTGAAGAAAAGGGATCCTTAAAGCTTGTAATCGCTTAACTAACAGAGGAGTTGCTCTCAAGCACTGTACTGAGTACTTTGCTTTATTTAATCTTCATAATAATCCTATGAGGTTGTAGTCCTTTTACCAGATGAGGAAACAATAAAGTTAAGCAAATTATCCAAAATCACATGATTACATGAGGGTAAAACCCAACTCATAGCTCCACTTTCCTGACTCCTGAGAATTCTGATTTGTGTTTTTCAGTTAGAATTGTTTCTAAAAGATAACTACTAGGGAAAAATGACATTTTTAACTCACCAGCCAGGCACAGCTACTGCTCTTAAGGGATGCTCATAACTGAGTTAGTTACAGTGTCTTCACTGTACAGTGTGGAAATCACACCACAGTCTCTTAATCCACAGTTCCTCTCTGCGATGTTCAAAGTGCCAGCCTATTCCCAAATGCCCTCACAGGGGTATACCTACTTAAGTCAACTGTTAAAGTTTAAGAGAAGCAACTCATTAGCAAAAAAAAAAAAAAAAAAAAAAGCTGAGCACTGATTTTATTTATATTTATATGATATATTTATAAACAAATCTCCATAAACAGTAATTACTGAGTGGTGGAATTAAGAGTTGGACCAACCAACAGGTTGCAGTGATTAAATCAATCTTTCATGTTTCATGAAAGATTTTCTTCCCACTTAATGAGAAATGCTTTTCTTATGTGGTAGAGTAGAAGAAACCCTCTTCAAAATCCAACACTCATGGGTACTGCCCCATATTGAGGTTGCCAACAGTAATGAATGAAATACGAAGTATATTTTCCTGCTATTCATTCCACCGAGAATAAGACCAGTAAGAACTACATTGATGGTAGAAGGGAGGATTAATTAGTGGGAACTCCACCATCAACCCTCGGGAAAAGACAGATCTCATTAGTAGGCTTCAGGATAAGTGCTAGCAGACTTGGTTACCATCTCCTCCCCAACCCAACTGTGAGAGGAGGATCTGCCACCAATAAAAAAAAGGCTGAGTCACTGGGAAGCAATTATCCCCAGTGCAAACCTCAGTTCCCCTGCTGAGAAGCTACTGCTATTCAGCTACAGTCTTCACTTGCATTAGTGCAAGTGAAATCAGTCCCCAAGGCCAAGGAGTGTTCACTTTAAGGCCCCCCCTTAACAGAACTCCAAAGCCTCTTTCTTTAACTTGCCCAATAAACAAAAAGCATACCCTAGGATACTCCCAGGAATAGAGTGTATGCAGTGATATAGGCTTCATCCTCCCCCAGAAGTAAAGCTGCATAAAAAATGCAGTTCTCACCACTTTTTTATCCTGAATTCAGAATCAAGATTGTATAAATTCAACGATCATTTAAAGCCTTAGTGAATTTAATAAATTTATGTCAGGACTTAAACATGATTAGATTATTACTAATGGTCTTCATAATTCAGGTGTTTTAGGCTTTCACTTTTAAAGTAATCACCTGTGGTGCCTATAACAAATTTTAAATAACATTTTTCTCTTAATTAATGCTACCAACATATGCTACAAAGCTGAAGTAAGCTCTTTTATTTCTATGAGATCCCAAGTTATTTTACCAGTCTTTGAGGACAGATGCAATTTGCTTTATCCTGAACTACTCATCTGTAAAGCAACAAAAACCCATCCAGTTCCTGCTCCAGGCAGCAAGCGAGGAAATGGCCTCCTTTCCCAGATTATCCTAGTCTCTGTGAGGTCACACCCAGCTGTCCCAGAGTGTTCACACATGCCCCAGCAGGCTTATACTTCCAAGGCTTTCTAAACCTTTGCTTTATTTCAAAACGAGCTATAATGAACACAAAGAGCAATGTGGGGCCAAATACCTGTCCACATTAACTAGGCTTCAGTGACCCTTTTACATGGCTGCTTTTTTTGTCCAGAGGTTAGAAAGTATTTGCACAAATCATCAGTGCCAGCACCTCAGTCCTGAGACGCTGAATTGCTGACAGCAGGGCCTGCTCCCTCGTTAGCCTTGGAGAGCTGTGCGTTAGCCTTGGAGAGCTGTGCGCTGTAGAGGCGGAAGCCTGAGTATGCAAGTGTTATCTCGCTGCCACCTTTGCCCAGTGCCCTTGCCCAACAGCATACGGTTTCCTCGACCTACCTGTTACTCAATCCCAGAAAAGGGGCCAGGGTGCTGGACTAGGGATAAGAAATGACCTTGGACAAATCATCTTTCCTACCATCACTTTTCCCAACTGTAAAATAGGAGGACCAGGGAGGAATGGGAAAGAGGAGAATTAAAATCTTAACTACTTTGCAAAGCTGTGGAGAGGATCAATTCAGATCTTTCATTCATTCACTTTTGTGGGTGCATTCCGGACACAAGATTTGCGGAGCGCTGCTGTGTAAAAGCAAAGGTCTGCACACGCACGCGGATTTCTTCTTGAAGCCCTTTAGTCCACCCACCCCCGGCCCTGGCTCCGAGTCAGGGTGCCAGGGGGGGACTGCCCCTCGCTTCACTAGGTAGGATTTGCAACCTTCTCCTGAGAAGGCTTGGTTACAGTTGCTGGAACACACCAGGCATCTAACAACGCGCCCCCGAGAACTAAATGCTCACAGCAGAATGGGAATTTTGCTGCCAGATCGTGGGGCGTGCAGTGAGCTGCCGGGGGACCGAGCTGCCGCACTACCGACCCGGCCCTCGCACTTCACTCGGTGACCTTGAGCAAGTCGACCCCAGGCCTCCCCCGCACCCTGGGCCCAGTGTCTCCGTTGCAAAATACACTGCAGGGAAGACGAAGCCCCAGGTCTTGGCCTTCTCCCGGAGGGCACCGCGGAGGGCCAGGCGGCCCTAAAGGAGGGACGCAGGCCCGAGCCTCCGCGGCCCCCAGCCGATGCCGCCCCAGCCCGCTCCGCACCTCGCAACGCCTGCCCGCCGCGCTTCGCCTCCTCATGCCCCGCCGGGCTCAGGTCCGCGTCGTACCAGCCGCTGAAGCGGTTCTCCAGGTTCCACGCACTCTCGCCGTGCCGGATCAGCACCAACTTGTAGGCGGCCATGGCGAAGGCTCGGGATGAGGCGCAGACTGGGGATCGCCGAGATTCCGGAGGAACAGCCCGGCCCCCGACCGCGCCTGCGCACTCGCGCCACACCGCCCGGCTCCCGCGCACTCTCCGGCCCAAATCTTTCC